TTTATACTCATTCCATCCCAAAATAATTATCTTTTTTTTACTTTAAATTTGTTCTAAATTAATTTTTTTTTTTATATTTTAAGGTTGATACGTGTTTTTTACTTTAACTCTATTGTTATCCTTTTACTATAATTATTATTTTATCACAAAAAATCTTTCTTTATTTTTTATTTTTTTAAAGGTAATATAAATGAATGCATAAATTATCCCTAAATTCTTAATTTAGGAAAAAATTAAAAAAGTTACAAATATTTTAGCACAAAGGGAGTAAATAAGTCATCAGCAGAGTTTTCTTGCTAAAACTCGAATTTCTTTTAACAAAAAACCAAAAACTAGAAGTTTATTTAATATTGAGATATTCAAATTTAAAAAGTCTTTCCTTTAATAAAAAAATACAAAGTCTTTCCTTGAATAAAATAATTAAATTAGGAAATAATTAATTTATGTTTAAAATCTATCTAATTCTTGAAATATCAGGAACTGATTGGAATTTTTGTGTAATGTTGTGTCTGTTTCTATACAAACTATGTTCATGTTAATTAAATAATTAGGAAATAATTAAATAATTTCTATACAAACAGATTGAAAAGACCACAAAATATGTGGAAAAATTACAAAAATGCCACAGGTCGAACACCTCCTTTAATTTAGACAGAGAAAGGAATAAGGGAGAGGCAAAGAACGGCAGGAGTGTTGACTCTAATTGACGTGTTGACTTTACCGAATTTATTTTATATTATTTTATTTTTATTATTTTTTTTTAAACATAGGTAATTTGGAGTAGGGGGAAAGGGAAGGGGTGGGGATTGAACCCACACCCTTAGGTGAGAAACCTCTAACGATATTGATTTGACCACTTGGGCCACCGTGGGTTTCTCTATTTTTATTATTTTTTTGAAAGGCCACTTTACCCACTTTATTCTGCTTTATGTTTACAAATTCAATTACTCAGTCTTAGAGCCTCCGATTTTCACTTCCGATGAGAACCCAGCCTTCTTACCCCCTCATTTCCGTGGTTGATTTTGTCAGGATCTAACTTCATTATAAGCAAGATAGGACGAGGTTTTGGTTGCAAGGCTTGTTCAGGTAAAATTCAGATTTCTGTCATTCTTACCATGTTTATACTTCATGTAATTTGTAGATTTTTAGCATGTTTTTGATATTTTTAATAAGTTATGCACACAAGAACGACTAAAATCATGGATATAAACAAAAGTATGTGAGTGATGCAAATGGGTAATGTTTGGTTGCTACCGATTTTTTATGAACCGTAGCTTTGTTTGTTACTATTGTACTGTAGTGCAGGTATAGAATTTTCTTGTTTTTTACTTTTGTAAAAATATATAAAATATTAATTACAATGATTAAAAATAAAAAATTTACATCTTCAGATAGGATATTACCATCCAAAGCACTGGAAACGAAACCTATATAAGAAACACTTCAAGAGTTGGAAAACGGCGACACATTGACAACTTATAAAGGGTTTAGTGAGAGTGGAAAATTTGAGGTATTGTCAAGGGTAATGTAGTGAAAAAAACTTAGTTTCATACCAAAAAGACTAGCAGAATTTTTTTAATTTAAATTTATTTCAATTAAAAAATATGTCTCGTTGCGATCATTCCCTAAACCGACTCATTAATTTATACTATTATGTTATATAGAATTTAACTTATTCTCGAACTCGAAGGTATAATGATTCCCTCAGGGTGGAAAAGTGAAAACAGGCCTGATTTCTTCCTATATCTTTTCCTAATTTAAATTTTTTATTTTCAATTTATTTATAAAACCAATTATTTAGGATTTTAGATTTTAAGCTATTACTGTAGATTAATAAGGTGATATGTTTTAGGATTTAAACTTAGGTTTTATGATTTCAAAATTTATACCCAACAAGTCAGCGAGATGCATTTCATGGGTCATAGTTAATAATCTTTGTTAACATTGTATTTGTAATTTCGCACAATAAATCATTGAAGGTTAATAATAATAACTAGATAATACCTTGTTAGGCACGTGAACTTTACAAAAAAAAAAAAAATAGTAATTTATACTTTTAATTTTTATAAAAATTATTTTATGTAAAATATTATTTACTCTCAAAAATTAATTATAATAAAGAAAAAACAAATGGTATATATATGCATCATTATAGTTCTCTTAACATATATAAATTTTCTTTAATATAAGATGATTGAAGAACCGTATGTTTGTGCATAAGCCTATTTCTTGCTTTAATCTAAATGGTCACACACACCTTCATTCAATTAAAAGGATATATGATATGAAAAAATTGGCTTTATACAATTAAAATGTATCCATAATATCAAAAATTAGAAAAAGAAATAATTTAAGCATTTAAAATGAAAATGAGAAATATCAAAATCTTAAGAAGTGAAAAGTTAATGAGGTGGGTTCAAACCCTTCCCCCTATTCTAAAAATTGTAATGTTAAAAACAATTTATGTTACAAAAAAGAGAGAGTACATTATAGGGTTTGAGAAAGTGAACCCCACCCTGAGTTTATCGGCAGACAAAATGTAAGTTACACCCTGAAAAAAAAAAAAAAAAAAAAAACTCACAACAAAAGTGGAAGAAAGGGGTGTCCCAATCTTGGCAAGTTGATCAGCATACATATTGTTCTCTTTAACAATGTGTTGCCGTTGAGCTTGAGCAAAATGACTCAAAAGTTCTCTGCTATCTAAGATCAAAGTACTTAATGAATGGGAACCAAAAAATCGGCAGACAGTAATTGAATGGCACAAAAAAAGTCACTCAATGATAATCTTTGAAAACACCCTAGCAACAGCCAGTTAGAAGCCATCCTATATGGCCTAATGCCCAACGCTTAAGCTATTGATAATGCCTATATGCCTAGCATACCCCATAATCCAATTGCCACTACGATCCCTAAAGATCCCTCTCGCAACAGCTGGTCTAGGTATGCCTAAAGCAGCACTATCAATATTAAGCTTAATAATATTTGGAAGAGTTTTATCCCAGCAAAACATGACATGTTGCCTATTAGATTTCTTAGACTAAATAGGAAGAACCAATCAAAATTCAATAGTTTTATATCAATAATAAAAGGAAACCATTTAGAATCTTGCAAATTAGAAGCCCTACAACTCGTCATTCCTCTATAACCAAACTCCCCAAATAGCAAATGAAAACAAAGTAGCCCAAGAAATTTTGAAAATACAGGGATCATCCACGCATTTAGACCTTGCTCTTACCCAACTAATAAAACAAACAGTAGAATGCTTAGGTAATCACACCAGGGATGATTTTGTTCTAAATGGTTGAGTGAGTATGAACATGTTAATCGTTAAAATAGATAGTTTTTCAAGTTTTAAAGCAAGGAATTTCTCTAGTATAAAAGTTAAGTTTCTCAAATAATTAAGAAGCTTCTTCCAATTAAAATCTCAAATTGAAACCTAACTAGCAACATATTAAGAAGTGCCATCACTAAATTGGAATTGATTTAAAACTTATTAAAAATCTAACAAAAT